GGACTCGTCACTTAAAGATCAGAGCAAATTATGTACGCGAGGAGGTGGAGCAAGGACGCCTTATTGTGCGCCACACGCCTGGGTCGATGCAGCTGGCAGACTTGTCTACAAAGATGCAGTCAAAGCTACGACTACACCAGTTGCTGCAGCTTTGGGGTTTTGTTGGCTTTGCGACGAATGTGTTGCAGGAGATGAAGCTCAAGATCCTTGCAGCTTTGATGGTGTTGGCTCAATGCATATGTCCTGCTCGTGCCCAAGCAAATGAGACCAAGGAGCCGTTGCCAACAACAACTTGGGACGAGGCGGTTGTGATGATGGTTGTGGTTGCAATCGTTGCAGTGTTGCTGTGGGAAGCTCTTCGTTTTGGCTACAGGAGAATCCTTCGTTGTCGAAGAAGGTGGCTCAAGGCGAAGAGACTGGAGCAGGTGTCCCAGTTCGCATCAGCTGCTGCAAGGAGAGAGATTGCAACTACAACCAAGGGTCGGGAAGCTATGAGTTCGGTGAGGAGGAGAAGTACCAGGACAAGAAGCCGCTCCTCCACTCCCATAGCCCCTATGACTCCGCCTACGACAAGGGCTTCCACCCCTCCGAGGACGATGAGCACTACAAGGACTCCGAGTATTCATCGAGGTCAAGATCTACAGCGAAGCCCGCAGGAGCAACCAGCAAGCTCTTCAGCGGTATTGGTGAGGCCCTGTTGCCGAGATCTACCAGGCTGGACGAAAGCGAGGAACGCTTTCGGGTGTGCAAGGATACCTTACAGCTGATGACGTGCGAAGATTTGAAATCCGCTTTGAGGCTGGAAGGGATGCCTGTGTCAGGTGTGAAGGGCGACTTGACCGAGAGGCTTGTACACAAGTTGGTGGCTTCAGATGTTACCAGCAAGCAGCTTCGCTACGTGCTCTACTTGTGGCGATTGAAATCCCTGAACTTCAAGTGCAAGTTGCGTTGGGAAGATATCAACAGCAAGTGCCGAATCTCGATGTGGATTTCCGCGTGGAAGGATGCATGAATGGAGTGAGTAATGCTCCTAAATTAGTCAATGCTTGACTGCTGGCGTGGAACGCCGGAACGGTGCAACATGCTAAAGTACTCCAAGGCCGTGGGCCCGGAGTAAGGAGGAGTGTTGATGGTGAAGCTTTCAGCTACA